CCTGTCTGCCTGGGGGCCACCGCAGAAACAGGGACTATTATGCCTGAAGCGGTGCTTGGGAAGCCCTGTCATCTTTTAGCTAACCTACATTCAGCCCTAAATTATCTGGCGAGGGAACCCGGGGATGCAGGTCATAGCCGATCCCGCACGTAGCAAGAGTGATTTCCCTCTGCCAGGAAATAAGCATTGAGAAAAGTGCTTATTTTCGACGTTGTTATTTTTAATGATGTTCCCAGGGCCCTGCTTGAGCCTTTCTGACAGGCTCTGGGGACCAGGGGAAGCGCAGACTCCTTCCCACCTGCTCACAATATGGACGAGGAACACGTCATCCCACTGACGGCAAGACACGGGAACGAGCGAACACAAGCCGGAGCTGCAGCCGGGCAGTGGTCAAGGGATCAGTCATCCCCACAGGTTGCCCCAGGGCTTGGTGTGACACCAGAGCTCCATGTTCCCAGTAGAGCATGATGCAAGGCTTGGCGCAGCAGAGCAACCAGCACAACTGGCTCCCGCGAGGGTCTCCTGAGGATGCGGCTCCTCACGCAGAACTCTGTGCCAGGGTGGTGGCAGCCCGCGAGGTCCTCGCATGCCTCCAGACACAGCCTGCTCCAGCTCAGCTGTGGAGCCCAGCGCAGGCGTTCGGAGCTTCAGAGCTTGTGGTGTGCAAAGGAGCAGGAGAAGATGCTTTCCAGCAAGTTGGAGAAGCAGTTTCTGCCCACCTTGTAGCTCTACTTTGGCTGCAGCCAGAGCAAGGACAGTGGCAGAAGGGACTGTCCCTACCAGGTTGGTGTACTGTAGCCTGCAGCAAGGAATCGTGTGCTTCTGCTCTTTCGCCATCATTTCACAACAAGTTTTAACTGGCATAATCCATCCCCCTCCCTGTGGTCCCTTCCCTTGTCCCACGCATGGCTGGATGGCAGCAAGAACGGGGAAATGATTTGGTCAAGCCCAAGCTGGGGTGGATGGTGGCCTTCCAAGCTGATCGTCCGAGCCTGCCTACTCCCATGCACTGAGCTTCACGTCCCTTGGCCGCAGCGGCAAGGGGTCCAGCGTCCAGAGAGTGGTTCTGATGGGGGGTGAAAGCCCCTGGGGCCAGGAAGGTCTTTGATGTTCAGCTGTTTAGTCACAAGGCCTTTCGTCTGAACGAACAGCAGGGGACAGTGACAGCATGCCTGGGCTGTACTCGCACTCAGGGTTCCTTGGACCTGCCCTGCCCACATAGTTTGGATTCTTGGGCACCTCCAGCTCAGGGCAATGATGCAGGCTGGTGGGTTTGGATGCAGCGAATTGTTTCAAGATGGATCTGAGGTTTTTCTACATCCTGGATGAGGCAGGATTGACGCAGGTTCAGTGATGTTTCATCCAGCTCCTAAATCGACCTGGTTTCCCTTTTGGCAGAAGTGCTGCCGCTGGCCCGGAGCGGTGTGAGAAGTTGCAGGACGAGTCAGGCTGCTCTGGACATGTGTCATCGCCCCATCCCCGCCTGCACGTCTGGGATGTCTCCAACTCCCCAAATCCAGGAGGGAGCTGCAGTGCTCCACAAGTCTTCCCTACTTGAGAGGAGGTTTGGATGCGACCTAATGCTCCACCCTTTCCATCCTCTCTCCCTGTATGTCCCAAGGACCCTTCTGTCCCTTTGGGCAAGCTGTGCACACAGGGGCACATCGGAATCCAGTGACACCAGGCAGTTGATCCCATCTCCACGGCAGTAAGGAAGCCCGAGTCTGCATTTCTTGGAGAGAAAAACATCTGCAGGGCAAGTGGCAGCCTTTCATGGGGGTCAGGGTTCACCCCTGAAGTCCCTGTCAGGAAAAGCAGCAGCTCTTCACAGAAACATCCCACTTAGGGCACGTGGCATCTGTAATCTTATGGCCCTGCTGTGCTTAAATCCCATGTCTGCTGATCACCCTGCAGCCAGGAAATCATGGATCTGCTGGATCTGGATCCAGTGGGATCACAAGATCCCATCCGCCAAATTAGAGCACGAGAAGGTGTTTCTGGACAGCTCTGTGCTTTCGCTGGAGGCTGAGAGACAGCCTGTCCCAGACCTGCAGTTAGAGCAAGCGGGCTCTAACCTGCAGCAGGCTGGATATCAACCAGCTTAGGGTTTGTGCCGGTGGCCGCAGCGGTTTTGACCCAAACCCAGACTTATCCTCACACCGAATCCTGGTATTGCCTTTGAATCGGTCCTTTGGATGTGTCGCTGTGGGTCGGAGGGGGCCCATGTGTCAGGCACTGCTTCCCCAGCCAGCCAATGAGCCGGATATGTCCAGCTTGACACCCCGGAGCTGACACAGCCCTGCTCCCGCCTTGTTCTCTGCAGCTCTGCCCTCCTCCTGCATCTCTGCCAGACCCGTGGTCCCGCTCGGTATGGGGAGGCAACAGACCTGGGAAAGCCTGGCCCCTCTGTGGGTCTCCTCTCATCCATCCTCACCGCATGTCCTTAAAAGTCTGGCCCTGGTAGTCCTACTGCATCTCCCATTACCAGACCCTAGTTTGCTTTGGGTAGGGAAATAATTAATAACCAGCGATGTGCTGGACCAGTGGGCAGAGTCCCCAGTGCTGGATATTTATTCATGGGCTCAGAAATAAAAGGAACTGCTCACGCAGGGAAATACTGCACAGTTCTGGGCTGGCTGAGACCTGGGATGAGGCTGCCTGGGGGTGTCACCGTCCCCGTGCCACTGCTTCATGTGTGCTCTTGCCCCCGAGGACAGAGCCAGCACCATGGCGAGCCCCGGCTGGCATTCGGCACTTTGCCAAGGTTCCTCCTGGAAACCAAAGCTGCCCTCCTCTCTCAGAGCGCGTCCCTCTTGCTGAGCGCGCAGCAGGGCGAGGGAAGGGCTGGTGCTCAGCCTTCAAGGGCCACCGTGTTCTTTGCAGATGTCGCTAATTCACAAGTAACCAACTAATTTGGCCCGTGTGACACCAGTGTTTATTCAGCTGGAGTTTATTTGCACTTTCATGGCCCCCTGAATGTAGAGTTCTACAAAGTAAGCGCTTAAGAGTACAGTTAGGGTAATTTCTTAGTTGCTGGTGTTCTGACATTTCAAATCCCCGTCAGACTCTACACTCTGCCTGATTTAATATTGCAACATGGTCTAAATTTCCATAACCCCAGCCTGCCTGAGGCGTGTGAACATGCCATGTCCTCGGAGGGTATTTCAGCGCACCGTGCCTGCCCCGCCGCGAGCTCTCCTTGCCAGGGCCCCAGGGGAACAGCTCCGTGTCACAGCCGGTGGGTACCATGGATGGCTCAGCCATGGAATCCCTCATCCTCCTGACACCTCCGTCTGTCCGTCCGGTGGGCAGCTGGTGGGCCCTTCCCCACGCCAAGCGGCACAACCCTCAGGGCTCCTGGGCACCCCCTCACTGACACACTGCCCCTACTTCATTTTAGCTCTTTTACGACTGACCCAGCCCCGAGAGACTTGATCCCGGGGGGTATAAAGTTTATTGTCCAACTTATTTTTAGGACTCTCTGGAATGCATTGCCAGCAGGCCCAGAGAGAACGCTGCTGTGAGCACACACCGCGCGGGATGCCTCTTCTCTGCTACACAGCTGTTAGAAAAGCAGAGTAGGAGCTTTCCCTCCCCAGAGGCGCGGACTTCCTCCCCCGGCCTCCACTCCCCGCCGCTCTCCTCTCCAGACCCGCGGCCTCCGCCGACAAGATGGCGGGTCACCTCCCCCCCCCGCT